CACTCCCAGACCAGTTCTCCCACCAAAATTCTCAGCTGAATCCTCCCAGCTGAAAGCAAGTAAAAAACCACTCACCCCTCTGTCTCCTGCTCCTGCTCAGATCTCAGCTGGGTCTCATGAGGGAAAATCTGTAGAGACGCTGAGGGAGTCTCTAATACAGCACCAGACATTGGGAATCGGTCAAGGAGGAACTGTAGCAAGCTCTAAGGCATCTTCTACATCCCCAGAGTATGTAGAGGTTTTGAAATAGTAGATTAAGAGCTCTGGAATGAAAAGAGGACATTTAAAATGGAAGCAAAGCAATTTAAACTTGAGGAAAGATGAAGCAGAAAATTTCAATTTTGAGAGGGATAAGTTGAAATATGAGGATATGTAGTAGGGAAAAAAGCAAAACCAAGAGCAAGAGATAATCCAAGTCAAGGGTTTAAACCCTCCAAGAATAATGCCTATGGATTTCACTTTTGTATGTGATAGTGGGAGATCTTCAGTTATCTTTGGTACTTTTGAGAAAGCTGCCCCATTTTGGAATATTCCTACTACACGATTCACAAGATATTCACTCATCTTCATAAAGTGGGATCTGGCAGAAGCTGGTGAAAGTTTCCCCTCAGACAAAGAGCTAAAATACAAATATTTTACACTGGCAGTATGGGACAGGTTCAAGTTAGGGTATGATCATTTCAAAAGAGATTCATTCAGTGTGGGAAGTCGTAGGTAGCCTTTGAGGGAAAACTGGGACATCTTTTTGGCAAATGGATTACCTCACCCAAAGGAGATACAGATAAAAAAGCATGGGATGCGAGCATACTTGACCAATTCTTATGCCAACTCCCCTCCAGTATCGAAATGTCTCACGGACAAGTTATCTTAGGATATCCCACCAGAAGCAGAGTGGGCAGATAAACAAAATGGCAACTAGCAGGGAGGGGAGAAGAAAGAAAGAAAAAAAGAAAGAAAGAAAGGAAAGAAAGAAAGAACGAAAGAAAGAAAGAAAAGAAAGTCTGAGAACAACCTGCTAGGCAGGGGTGTCGAACTAATTTGGCATAAATTGGACAGATTTGACATAAATTGGACTTTGTCAGGCCGGCCCATGTGTGTCATAAAATGTAATGCCTGGTAGCAGGGATATAAGCTCTGACACACATGGCCCAGGCCGACAAAGTCCAATTTATGTCAAATCTGGCCCTCATAAGAAATGAGTTCGACACCTACAGGGAATAATCACTCCAGCCATATGCCGGAAACTGGACTGAGTAAGGGCCAGACAGAGTGTGTGCTATGGGTGTGGGGAAAAGAGGCACTATATAAATGCCTTGCCTATAACAACACATAATCAATGAGCTCCTGAGCATAGGATGAAGGCAACTAGGACATCCCGCGATCAAGAGAGGGACAGCCAGCCAGAGAGCCTCGTTACTTTTAGATCGGCAGCTAAGGGAACCCAGACAGTCCCCTGCGGATCCCAAAGACAGAGACACGGAGAGATCACATATATGCGGCATCCAAATCAGCAGCACGTATTTGGATACAGAACTTTTGGAGAAAGGGTACAATTGAATGGAGAATATAAGCTAGCCATTTGGGACACTGGATCTTCAGTTACCCTGATCAGAGCAGATTTTGTGAAACCAAAGGATGCAATCCATGGCCAGGATATGTTTTGGAAAGGGATGAGAGGAAAGCTGGGAGAAGTTTGTGTTGCCTGAATGAGAGCCAGTCGGAGGGGAAAGGAAAGCATCGATTAGATTGCTTTGATCCCCCTTGTCCACATGTTTGTTCACCCTCTCAAAGAACATTAACAGGTTAAGTGAGACAAGATCTTCCCTTACAGAACCCATGCTGAGTCTGCCTCAACAGGTTTTGTTCATCTATGTGCCTACTAATTCTTTCCTTAAGAATGGTTTCCACCAATTTACCCGGTATCGATGTCAGACTGACTGGCCTGTAATTTCCCGGATCTCCTCTGGAACCCTTTTTAAAGATGGGAGTGACATTAGCTACCTTCCAGTCCTCAGGAATGGAGGCAGATTTTAAGGAAAGATTACATATTTTTGTCAGGAGATCCACAAGTTCACATTTGAGTTCTTTCAGAACTCTCGGATGTATGCCATCTGGGCCTGGTGATTTATCAGTTTTTAAGTTGTCTATCAGTTGTAGGACCTCTTCTCTTGTCACCTCAATCTGACTCAGGTCTTTTAACCCCCCTCCCGAAGTGTTTTTCGCTATATTGTGATCAGGAAGAGCCAGTAATTCTGGGAGGAGAAGTTAAGGGTGCTCCAGCTAGGAGCCATTTTCCGGTGGACACTTAAACCACCGTGGGGGAAGAGCCGGAGGAGATAAGTGAGGTCCCTAAAAATAAGATTCTATGTAGGGCCGCTGCAGTTACAAAGAATGCAAGTGAAGTTTCTGAGGAGAAGGTGTCAGGGGAGGGGGAAGTGTGGGACGCAGGAGAAGCAGGCAGAAAATGGAAGGGAGGTAGCGACGGAGCTGAATTTCTGACCCCAGCCTAGAGCCTCTCAGGATTTCTGCCAAAGGAACCACAGTTATGAACCAGAAACCCACACCTGGCTTTGGTTTCCTGTATCTGAGCAGGTTTGGGAAGCGGAATCCAAAAGATGCCACTGCAATTGTGGTGAAGGGTGTCTGTTGTCAGCCTCAGAGGTCTTGGGGAGATCTGAGTTCAAATTCTACCTTACCACGACATCCACTTGGGTGACAGTTTGTTAGTCATTCTCACCCCCAGAAGGGTCTTGCGAGGATCAAATGGGGGGAGGGCCATATATACCACCTACCGCTCCTTGGAGGAAGGGTTGGCAGAGAAACTCACTCCTTGGCTTGCAGCTTTTGCTGCTCAGGTGGCCCAAAAGCCCCCCCCCCCTAAAACACCTGGCTCATAGGGTGTGGCCCTAGTTTCTTCCTCCCCTGCTTTGGTGTTTGGTGTAGTGGTTTGACGTAGTGGTTAACTGCATGGACTCTAATCTGGGAGAACCAGGTTTGATTCCCCACTCCTCCACATGCAGCTGCTGGATGACCTTGGGCAAGCCATAGTTCTGATAAGAGCTGTTCTCCCAAGAGCAGTTCTCTCAGACCTCTCTCAGCCCCACCCACCTCACAGGGTGTCTGTTGTGGGGAGGGGAAGGGAAAGGAGTTTGTAAGCCGCTCTGAGACTCCGAGTGAAGGGCAGGGTATAAATCCAATCTCTTCTTCTCTTCTTCTTTCCACGAAACTGCAGCTTTTGGAGTCTCACTCTTGGCTTACATTGCAAGCGTCCAGCGGGATGAGGGCTAAGGATCCTGCTGGCAAAGCACTGGATCTTTGCACAGGGGATTCCTTGGAAGGAGAGGAGTGGCGCTGCTGAGATCTTGATCTCCTAAATCTGTCTGGGGTCCATTCTCTGGCCTCCTTCCACTTGGCCCCATGCCCCCCCCATTGGATATCTGGGCAAGCTGGGGGCCAGAGATACCTTGCAAGTCAATTCCACAGACTTCAAGGATTTGGGGCGAATACAGTAATTGCCGAGAGTAGCCTTTGCACCCTCTGGACACCTACCCTACAAAAGGAGTTTGTAAGCTGCTCTGAGCCTCCGAGTGAAGGGCGGGGTATAATTCCAATCTCTTCTTCTTTCCCCGAAACTGCAGCTTTTGGAGTCTCATGCTTGGCTTACGTTGCAAGCGTCTAGCGGGATGAGGGCCAAGGATCCTTGTTGGAAGTTACAAGTTAGAACACTTCTATTCAGTATTTACTGAGTTAATGCTGTGTTCTGAATCACATGTTTGTTTGTATCCTATCTGCTTAGAGAGTTAGAATGCCCGCCAGATTCAGATCTAGTTTGTTGTTCTGATTGGGGAATGGAGTGTTACTATTTAGCATTTTATGGCTCTTTGTCCCTGAGCAAGAAGAAGCTCCAGTCTCCATCTCTCTCCATTAGACTTTAGCCATGTAAGGAAGTCTCCATTAGTCTATCTAGATTTGAGGATGTAGAAATAAAGCTCTTTGTTATTTTACCTCCTGTTTACCCTACCCTTGATAGGTTGTTAGTAAACTTTTTATATTTTAAAACTACCATGGACTCAGACTCATTTTTACTCTGCTAAACTCTGCTGAATTAAGAAATTAAGAAATTAAATACTAAACCATCTAACAATCCTGCTGGCAAAGCACCTAAACTTTGCACAAGGGATTCCTTGGAAGGAGAGCAGGGGCGCTGCTGCTGAGATCTTGATCTCCTGAATCTGTCTGGGGTCCATTCTCTGTCTGCCCTCCTTCCACTTGGACCCATGGGTTAATCCCCCCCCCCCATTGGATATCTGGGCAAGCTGGGGGCCAGAGATACCTTGCAAGACAATTCCACAGACTTCAAGGATTTGGGGCGAACACCTGGAATCAGCAGTAATTGCCGAGAGTGGCCTTTGCACCCTCTGGACATGCAAGAAAACCCATCTGGCTTTTCAGGCTGCAGCAACAGAAGCGCCTGATTGGGGTCCCCCCCCCAGTAGCCAGCCCTGGAGAGTAAACTCTACTGTTGGGTTTTATCCTCCACACATGCTCACGAGTACAACCTGAAATTTTAAGTGTGGACCAGGAAGCCCCCAAGTCTTTGGCCTCAGCCCCAAATCCTGGTTTTCAGCACGTGCCCTACACTGCAGGACTGGCGGTAGCCCGAGTGAAGCAGGTCGGACTGGAAAGAGCCCCAGAAATGAAGCTAAGCTGCTGGGGAGAGAGGAGGATCCTAGGAAATAAATGTGTGAACAGCAAAGAAAGAAAAGAACTTCGGCCGACCTCTCCCTGATGCACGACGCTAGCGAGCGCCGGGCTCTCCAGCAAGACAGGCCAGCCCCGCCCCGCTGGCCCCGAGGGGGAAGGGGATTCGGATTTCCGCTTCTACCCTAGATGGGGAGCGTCCTGCCTCCCCCCCCCCCTTCCCTCCCACTGGCCACCACGCAACCGGGGAAGGGATGAAGTTTGTGCAAACGCTTCCCTTTCCTCCCCGTCAACAACCACCTTTGCACTGCAGCCTCCTCGCTCGGGCGAGCGCCTCCCCTCCATTCTCCCCGGCCCAGCAGAGTCGGGGGGGGGGGGGGAATCCCAAATTAAGTTCGGTGCCAGCTTTCGCTTTCCCTTTCCCAGCCGAGCTCAGGCTGCCGGCGACGAGTGAGCCCAGCGACTCGTGACACTTCCTGGGCTCTTTTTTCTGATTGGAGACAAATTCACCCCTCGGCCAATCCCGGCTCTCGCCTCGCGTTCCTCCCCGCCAGGCCACTGCCTGTGGTGGCCTGGCTCGGGGGAAAGTGCGTTGCGAGCTCGGTGGGCGCAGAAGTGGCTTTGGGGCTGCGAAGATGACCTTCTTTCGACGTTGCGTCCTGCCTCTTCGATGTCTGCCTCTTCGACGTCGCCACCTGCCCCTCTTGGGGGTCGTCGCCCTCCTGCTGATGGCGGTGGGGTGCTCCGGTGAGTCCCTCATCCCGGGGGCCAAAAACTCTCCATGTGTTCAGCGGGGGGGG